GCAGTAGTGCAATTTTACACTTCACTGAACAGTTGTAGCAGTAGTTCATTCATAAACTACACAGCACAGTTGTAGCAGTAGTACATCCATACACTACACATACCAGTTGTAGTGGTAGTGCCTTCATACAATAAACAGAAAAGTTGTAGCGGTAATTCATATACTGCACAGAACAGTTGAAACAGTAACGAATTCATACACTACCCAGAACAGTTGTAGCGGTAGTGAATTCATACATTTTACAGAACAGTTGAAGTGGTAGCGCATTCATACATTTCACAGAATAGTTGGAGTTGTAGTGCATTCATACATTCCACAGAACAGTTGTAGTGGTATTGCATGTTGTAACAGTAGTGCATTCATACACTTCACAGAACAGTTATAGCTGTAATGCATTCATACACTACACAGAATAGTAGCGGTAGTGCATTCATACATTTCACAGAACTGTTGTAGCGGTAGTGCATTCATACATTTCACAGAACTGTTGTAGCGGTAGTGCATTCATACACAACACACAACAGTTGTAGCAGTAGTGCATTCATACACGGCACAGAACAGTTGTATCAGTAGTGCATTCATACACTACACATAACAGTTGTAGCGGTAGTACATTCATACAGTATTGCATTCATACACTACACAGGATAGTAGTGGTAGTGCATTCATACACTCCACATAACAGTTGTAGCGGTAGTACATTCATACAGTATTGCATTCATACACTACACAGACTAGTTGTAGCAGTGGTGCATTCATACACTTCACTGAACAGTTGTAGCAGTAGTTCATTCATACACTACACATAACAGTTGTAGACGTAGTACATTCATATACGACACAGAACAGTTGTAGCGATAGTGCATTCATACTGTACACAGAACAGTTGTAGCGGAAGTGCATTCATATACTACACAGGATAGTTGGGGTAGTTCATTCATAAATTACACAGAACAGCGACACAGAACAGTTGTAGCGATAGTGCATTCATACTGTACACAGAACAATTGTAGCGGTATTGCATTCATACACTACACAGGATAGTAGTGGTAGTGAATTCATACACTTCACAGAACAGGTGTAGCAGTAGTGCATTCATACTCTACACATAACAGTTGTAGAGGTAATACATTCATACACGACACATAACAGTTGTAGTGGTAGTGCCTTCATACACTACACAGAATAGTAGCGGTAGTGCATTCATACACAACACACAACAGTTGTAGCAGTAGTGCAATTATACACTTCACTTAACAGTTGTAGAATTAGTGCATTCTTACACTGCACAGAACAGTTGTAGAAGTAGTTCATTCATACACTACACATAACATACACTACACATACCAGTTGTAGTAGTAGTGCCTTCATACACTACACAGAATAGTAGAGGTAGTGCATTCTTACACTACACGGAACAGTTGTAGTGGTATTGCATTCATACACTACAGAACAGTTGTAGCGGTAGTGAATTCATACATTTTACAGAACAGTTGAAGTGGTAGCGCATTCATACATTTCACAGAACTGTTGTAGCGGTAGTGCATTCATATACTACACAGGATAGTTGGGGTAGTTCATTCATAAATTACACAGAACAGTTGTAGCGTTAGTGCATTCATACTGTACACAGAACAGTTGTAGCGGTAGAACAGTCATTCATTACCCTGAACAGTTGTAGCGGTAGAACAGTCATTCATTACCCTGAACAGTTGTAGCGGTAGAACAGGTAGTACATTCATACACGACACATAACAGTTTTAGCGGTAGTACATTCATACAGTATTGCATTCATACACTACACAGGATAGTAGTGGTAGTGAATTCATACACTTCACAGAACAGTTGTAGCAGTAGCGCATTCATACACTACACAGAATAGTAGCGGTAGTGCATTCATACACTTCACAGAACAGTTGTAGCGGAAGTGCATTCATACACTACACAGACTAGTTGTAGCAGTAGTGCATTCATACTCTACACATAACAGTTGTAGAGGTAGTACATTCATACACGACACATAACAGTTGTAGCGGTAGTACATTCATACACTTCACAGAACAGTTATAGCTGTAATGCATTCATACACTACACAGACTAGTTGTATCAGCAGTGCATTTATACACTACACATAACAGTTGTAGACGTAGTACATTCATATACGACACAGAACAGTTGTAGCGGTAGTGCATTCATACACTACACATAACAGTTGTAGAGGTAGTACATTCATACACTTCACAGAACAGTTGTAGTGGTAGTGCCTTCATACACTAAACAGAATAGTTGTAGCGGTAATTCATACACTGCACAGAACAGTTGAAACAGTAACGAATTCATACACAACACAGAACAGTTGTCGCGGTAGTGCATTCATACATTTCACAGAACAGTTGTAGCGGTAGTGCATTCATACACTACACAGGATATTTGTGGTAGTGCATTCATAAATTACACAGAACAGTTGTAGCGGTAGTCATTCATACTTTTCACAGAACAGTTGTAGTGGTATTGCATTCATACACTACACAGGATAGTAATGGTAGTCATTCATACATTTCACAGAACAGTTGTAGTGGTATTGCATTCATACACTACACAGGATATTAATGGTAGTGCATTCATAAATTACACAGAACAGTTGTAGCGGTAGTGCATTCATACTGTACACAGAACAGTTGTAGCGGTATTGCATTCATACACTATACGGAACAGTTGTAGTGGTATTGCATTCATACATTTCACAGAACAGTTGAAGTGGTAGTGCATTCATACTGTACACAGAACAGTTGTAGCGGTATTGCATTCATACACTATACGGAACAGTTGTAGCGGTATTGCATTCATACATTTCACAGAACAGTTGAAGTTGTGGTGCATTCATACATTTCACAGAACAGTTGAAGTGGTAGTGCATTCATACATTTCACAGAACAGTTGTAGCGGTAGTGCATTCATACATTTCACAGGGCAGTTGAATTGGTATTGCATTCATACATTTCACAGAACAGTTGAAGTGGTAGTGCATTCATACTGTACACAGAACAGTTGTAGCGGTATTGCATTCATACACTATACGGAACAGTTGTAGCGGTATTGCATTCATACATTTCACAGAACAGTTGGAGTTGTAGTGTATTCATACATTTCACAGGGCAGTTGAAGTGGAATTGCATTCATACATTACACGGAACAGTTGTAGTGGTATTGCATTCATACACTACACATGATAGTAGTGGTAGGACATTCATACACTTCACAGAACAGTTGCAGCGGAAGTGCATTCATACACTACACATGATAGTAGTGGTAGTGCATTCATACACTCCACAGAACAGTTGTAGCGGTAGAACAGTCATTCACTACACTGAACAGTTGTAGCGGTAGTGCATTCATACACAACACAGAACAGTTGTAGCAGTAGTGCATTTATACACTACACTGAACAGTTGTAGCAGTAGTGCATTCATACACTCCACAGAACAATTGTAGTGGTAGTGCATTCATACACAACACACAACAGTTGTAGCAGTAGTGCATTCATAAACTAAACTGAACGGTTGTAGCGGTAGTGCATTCATACACTAAACTGAACAGTTGTAGCGGTAGGACATTTATACACTTCACAGAACAGTTGTAGCGGTAGTGCATTCATACACAACACAGAACAGTTGTAGCAGTAGTGCATTTATACACTACACTGAACAGTTGTAGCAGTAGTGCATTCATACACTCCGCAGAACAATTGTAGTGGTAGTGCATTCATACACAACAAACAACAGTTGTAGCAGTAGTGCATTCATAAACTAAACTGAACGGTTGTAGCGGTAGTGCATTCATACACTACACAGAACAGTTGTAGCGGTAGTGCATCCATACACAACACAGAACAGTTGTAGCAGTAGTACATTCATACACGGCACAGAACAGTTGTAGCAGTAGTGCAGTCATACACTACACATAACAGTTGTAGAGGTAGTACATTCATACACGACAAAGAACAGTTGTAGCGGTAGTGCGTTCATACACTTCACAGAACAGTTGTAGTGGTTATGCATTCATACACTGCACAGACTAGTTGTAACAGTAGTACATTCATACACGACAAAGAACAGTTGTATCAGCAGTGCATTCATATACTACACAGAACAGTTGTAGCGGTAGTGCATTCATACACGACACAGAACAGTTGTATCAGCAGTGCATTCATACACGACACAGAACAGTTGTAGCGGTAGTGCATTCATACACTTCACAGAACAGGTGTAGCAGTAGTGCATTCATACACGACACAGAACAGTTGTAGCGGTAGTGCATTCATACACGACACAGAACAGGTGTAGCAGTAGTACATTCATACACGACATAGAACAGTTGTAGCAGTAGTGCATTCATACACTTCACAGAACAGGTGTAGCAGTAGTGCATTCATACACGACACAGAACAGGTGTAGCGGTAGTACATTCATACACGACACAGAACAGTTGTAGCGGTAGTGCATTCTTTCACTTCACAGAACAGTTGTAGTGGTAGTACATTCATAGACTTCATTGCAAAGTTGTAGCGGTAGTACATCCATACACTTCATTGAAAAGTTGTAGCAGTAGTGCATTCATACACTACACAGAACAGTTGTAGCAGTAGTACATCCATACACTTCATTGAAAAGTTGTAGCAGTAGTGCATTCATACACTACACAGAACAGAGCATTATCATCGCATTATAAATATAGTTACGCACTTAAATAAATTGACACACGGCCAGTATATGCAATCGAAAAACACAACAAAGCTCTAAAAGCGCTAAATAAGGTTAACGCTAAAATCGGTACGGTTATAATAACCACAAAAACAACAAAAGATCTACTTAATTATAAATACCCCAAACCCCCGCCATTATAATGAAACGTTTCCTGTTCCGCCGTGTCACTCTTCAAGATTGGCTCATTCTCTCAGAAAAACTCACCGTGTACAAACAGAAACAATAATAAAAAATAAAACCTTTTTATACATTTCAATTTATTTGTTCTGGGCTTTAAGCCAAGAAAACCGCTTCGTTTAACCTGATTATGACCGGAATACAAATGACATTAAAATGTTCCAATCATATCTGTTGTCTTAATTTCATTATCAAAACCATGTTTTTTTTCTTACATGAAACAAAAAAAGTAATGGAAACTATGGGAAAGGCATAAAAATGTTAAATTAACACATGTTTTTTTTTAGGGTTTAAGGTTTTCGCAGATGTCACCCGGTATTAAGGCTGTCAAAGGATGACACTCTACTTTCCCGTCCTTCTTGCAGGTACATTTGTTCTGTTGATCAAATGAGTTGATCTCCTCGCCAGCCATGTAGGCTTTTTGGTCGTAAGCACAAACCTCCCCTATAAAAAAATGGATATTGTTAATGTCTAGGTCACAATACAAAAAACACATACTGTAAAGCGGGATATTTCCGCGCGGATGCTTCTTTCGCGATTTACAAGGGACAATAACTTGACCGCGAAAATATGATACGATGAATTATATAAAGGACACGCGTAAAAAAGAGGCGACATAAGAAGCGTCATGACCGTCATATCGTCATGATAAAGAAAGTGTGTCATGGTTATGAGAACAATACACCATGTTTAAAAAATATATATTACACATCTACACATTTCTGATGATTTGTTTATCAAAATACGCTTACTTTTTGTTGTTCGATATGCAATAATAAAGCAAATTAATTTGACTATTTGACACTTTGTATGCCGAGTGTCCCGTCTCTGTGCAAAACAATAGCGCGATAATTTAGTACCTTTAACATGTTTAAATCGCTAAATTATAATTCGTGAAAATAAAATGTTCTAATTTTGGGTCTAAATTAAATAGAAGAAATAAGCCCGTGTAAATAACCCGTTAAACTGTGGAACACATGAAAGTCGGAGATATCAGAGTCAGACTACCAACATTTTGTTTCCATTCAGGGCTCATCATGTGAAGCTGACAGTGCAAAATAAAAAGGTTTTTTTTATCTGGTTTTGTGATCTTCCCCAAAGTCTATCTCTTCCAGCTATCGTTCATGAGGACGACATTTTAGTTTGTCCGTGCTTGGTAAAATGTCGGCGCTTCCTTAAATACGACAGACGGAAAAAATTGTCACTGGGGAAGATCTCAAAATAATAAAGAAAAGAAAAAAGCACTGTCAGCTTTAAGTCCAGAAATGAAAAGTCAAAAGTTTAAAGTGTTCTGAAACAGGTGAAGAATTCATCAAAGGATCATAAGAAACCTTTGTAATGTTTAAAACTTACAATCTTCGACTGAAATAGGATAATGTTTGACGTGATATTTTAAATTGTTGGCCACGTATAATAATCACAAAAAGTACGACAAAAGGAAACATGTTTTTGAAAAATATGTACGTTTTTGAAAAGGAGCTCTGTAACTTCGACATAAAGTTATCATTGTTTTGTTTATAATAATAATAACAATAATTCGAGGTTCTTATATAAACGCTTTATCACAACCTAGGTCGTAGGTCTTCTCAAAGCGGTTCACAAATTAGTATCCGTTGTTATTGGGCCTTTGCAACCAGCCAATATCTTACTCAACGCCCTGGGGAGCACACAAACGGTGCTGCCATTTTAGCGCTTACACCTAGCATTCAACAATTCTAGAACTGCCCAACCTCGTACTCATTTACAGGTGAGTAGATTCGAACAAGCGGAGTGAAGTATCTTGCTCATAGATACAACACAGTGCCGTGCCGTGCCGTGACTCGAACTCGCAACCCTTCAGTCACGAGCCCGGCGTAACTACCACTAGACTACCGCGTTTAGTAATAAATGAATGTGAAGCATGTAATGTTTTATTGATATTGCCTGTTCTGGTTTCTTGATTATACATTTTTTTTAAATATTTATAAGAACCACACTTACCTGGGCAGAGAAGGCATCGTCCATCTGCTGACATTATTGTGTTACACTCTTTAATTTCGGGACACAGATTATCAAAGAACCTACAGTCGCTGCAATTCGGAAGTGTCGTAGGCAGGCAAATGGCAACCACTGATGTCACCTCAGGCACGGGGACGCAAAAACGAACGCAGTCTTTGCTTCGTTCTTGAGTCACTGGAATTAGCACAAAATAGAAATTTAAACTCTTGTAACGATAGAATCCTACATATCTCCAATACAATACGCAAATATGTGTCGGGTCAGACACTTCTGTATCTGACAACCCCATAGAACGACATTATTGTATATGTACTTTTATACATAAAAAGAAGAGGGGGATATTCAAATTGATGTTTTATATTGAAACAAAAACTAATAGGATATATCTGTTTCATATTAAGTACTATTTCATATTAGTATGTATCAGGGAAAACCAAGGTTTGGATTCGGGTAAGTGGATTTGAATAAGTACTTGCCCGCAGGTGAAATGTATTGATCCTAAATCATCACAAGCATACATGAACCGGTACATTACATGGAATAAGGACTTTACAACAATATGGTGTTTTAAAAGAAACAGTGATATTTGCATGTTCATTGTTTATTTGGCGAGTGATAAAACAGTATATTGTGAATAAAGTATAATTAAAAAGTTTTGCACTAGTTCCTCAGGCAACTACACGCACATTTTCAGTTGCCCGCAGACTAAATATTCGGGGCCCTGACCAGACCGTGGATTTTTCCTCTATGACGTCAAATCTAACTTGATTTCAAATTGACTTACAATGGATACCACTGTTAATTGTGCATGCCATTCATTAGACGGAGAAAAAAAACGAGTAAAAGTAAATAAAATGAAATTATTGATACAAAAAGCAAAGTATGGAAATCAAAAGACCACCTTGATGCTAATTTTTAAAAATCGCTTAGATGGAAACAATTTAAATCTTGCAAATTATTTATTTAAACATTACGCATTTTGTTTATCGTTACACAATTCAACGTATCTTATATGCATACAAAATTAATAACAAATTTGGAAAACTTCTTTTAAAAAAATAAATCAGTTTGTCTACATAAGAAGCAGAGAACAGTAGAAATGGCTTAATCCTAAAAATAAAGGGCATGTCTCGGATAAACATTGATGGCGGATTCATCCTGCACAACACACCTACATTTATATATATCTATAAATTACTTTTTGGACAGTTTTTTTTTAGAAGATTGATTTTTTTTCAAAAAATGATTTCCCCAGATTTGGGACTTGTGAAAACCATGGTTACCACATCAAAAAACGCCAAAAAAAGCAAAAAAACTTGATTTGTGACTCAAAATTTGACCCACGCAAGTAGTATTTTTTTTCTTTAAACCTGTCTTACTTTAAATATCACCTGCACGGTAACAGAAACAACTGGATTTTTCACAATATTTACACATGTGCTGAGTACAAAAATAGATTATATGAAAAGCTAGCTTTTGTTGTGTAGACACAGATTTATATATGGAGAAAAATGGAGTCTCAAGCCAAATTCGATTTTTCTTTTCTTTAAATGAGAAGGCCACATAGTCCAATTCATCATGTATCTGCCAATTTTAGAGCTGATTTTTTTTTTAAAGTTTTGATACATGTAATATTACAGAGGTTATTCATTGAACAAAAATATCACTCATGGCCACCGCACGCTACTGTACACTGCTACAATATACATCACTTTCTTTTTTCCCAAAATTTAATCAAAACCTTTTAAATGTCTGGAAAATGACACAATGAACAAAAAGATGTATCCGTTTCCTTTCTCACATTAAAAGTGACCGAGTAATATGAATTCTCCTGACAGGTGAATTTTTACCATTTCTGCTCTCAAACTACCAACAAAGGGAGGTAGTCTGAACAATTAAAAATATCACCCATGGCCACCGTACGCTATTGTACACTGTAATGGTCTCGTGTTCTGAGTAAAAGTTAGATATCAAATATATTTTACCATTTCATGAAAAAGAAATCCAACCGATACATTTCATTGATTAGAATATATTACATATAGCACACACGCAGGAGTACGCACATAGGTAGATGTTAGCCATGTGGCATAGAACTAGTAGTTAGCGCCTTATAAGGCAGCTCCTGCGAATTCCTCAAAAATTATATTGATTAATGAATATGCTAATTGTATTAATTGTATATCTACTTACTGTAAAGCGCTTAAGCGTGGCTTATTTTAGCAAGATAGGGCGCTATATTAAATGCTGTATATTACTGTCATTATTATTATTATACAAAAACTAAATCTGCATATTCATCTACATGTATTACACTGATTCATCATCTCTGACCTATTAAAATTAGTTAAATAAATTATATTTAAAGGTTCAATATCTGCTGACAATTTTATCACGAAAATCATTATAAAAAGTATTAATTGAAACATCAAACAATGTACGTGAATACACTTGCAATTAATCACTCTGTTTCGCCCCTCCGTTTCTAATTTTATGAACATCGTGACGGCAGCTTGTGTCTAACATAATGAATACAGTTTATTTGACACTAAAATATGCGATTTAGAACACTTTTCATATTTCAGTGCTATTTTATTAGCATACCAAGCAAATGAAATATTTACGTTTTCCCCGCGATTCTGTAGCATATGTCTGAAGTAATAGATTAGTCCTAATAATATAGGTATTACAATGATATCGTAATTTCTAAGGAAGCTACACCTTATGCGGAATATGATTCATAAAGTTGTTTGGGGAAAGCTTAAACTCAAACCAGGTTTTCAGTTTAACAGGAATGCCATCACGTTACTTTTTAATGTAAAAAAATATATTTTGAAATCAAGGACATTCTATTTCTTCGTCAGCCACTTTCCCAATCCTTTACTTCAAACTTAACCAACAGGAACGGATTACTACTGAGCTGGACGTTAAGCGTGATAGCTTGAACTTTCCCTTTCTTGATAGCAACGTCCCTGCTCCTCCTACAGAGTAAACATGACGCAGTTGATCCTTGCTCCGAATGTCATGATTTTCGTAAAAAATAGATGACGTTTGTAATTATTATTGGCAGGGGTTACGGTCGGAGTGTTGATCTCGATGTGATATTGTGTATTTGTTACTTATGCTTATAAGCAAGACTTATTATATTGACACTTACCCAGTTCGCACTCTTAGGACACAACTTACTTTGATTTAATCTATGTTTACACTGCATGTGTAGTCGATGAAGCAAAAGACGCTTACGCTTCCGGAAAACCTTATTTTATCATCCTGGTACTCTTACAATGTTCTGCATTTACATTTTCTTCCGTATATATTTTGTCCTTGTTTTATCAATTTTGAGTTCGAATTGTTGTTAAATTGACATTTGTTCTGAAAACTGCAAAGGAGTCGGACGTTAATGTCCCCATTTTATCGGAATACTTGAAATTAATAGGTTGTAGATTTTGAAGAATTTTTCTGATCTTTTGATTAATTTTACTATCATCTCCTCAAAACCGTTTTTGCCAAAAAAATACCATACTGTACCTCATACAACATTGAAGGAACACCAACGTCAGCTTATTACTAGAGTGTTGTTTTCAAAGAAGTGCGAATAGCGATACAGATATATGGTTGTTAACTCATTAAAAGCAACTTTTGTGAAAAACAATTCAAAGGTCAAATTGAAATATGCTTCGGGCAAAATAGTGGGAAAGATTGCGTTCCTGGTTAACAGTATACAGATTAATTTAGACTTTAAATTCTTCATCCGACTAACGGCATTCCTATGGAATTAAACTGTGCATATTCGTGTTTTTTTTACACTTTGCTATATATAGGATCTTACTTGAGTTTTCATTTCATATTAGATTTTATGAAACGAGTTTCTGGAGTTTATATTTTTGCGAGCCTTGGCGAACAAAAATTAAAACTTTGAGACGAGTTTCATTAAAGCTCATATGAAATGAAAACAAATTTAAGATACTTTTTATCACATAACTCAGCCATTTTGTTGCGCCATTCACCATTTATGACGTCATGTCATTGTCCATATTATGACGTCACAATCAATTTCTGACTGGCACAGCCAATGAAAAACGCTCCAGGGTATATTCCACTAGTGACATAAGTGTATGTAAAAATATCACACGGGCGAATTCACTGGATAACAGGCCGATTATGTGATAAATTAGCACATGTATATAAATATATAATAACCGCCACGTGTTGTTAATTTCTCAACAGACATGTGTGAGATTTGTGCAAGAGCGCAGCTCTTCTTGCGCCGAAGGCGCAAGAAGCGAAGCTCTGTTCCGGTAACATGTGTACGAACAATTGAAGTCATTGTAACGTCGAAATACTATGCTTCCAAAATCCTTCGCCACGGAAGTAGCTAGTATAGAGTTACCGCGGTCCTATTTTTACGATGCTGTTTAGCTTTGCTACACATTCTCAAAAATATTTCTTTATTTGATAAAAAATAATTTTGGTTATGTAAATTCATGACATTAAAAATTATAGAAACTGAAGCTTCTTTCAAATTTTCAGTCTTTTCTTCTCTCCACCCAAACCGGAAGTATATAGTAACTACCAAACCAAGACGGAAATCCGGATATGTTTTGGCTATTGTGATTCTCTTTTCACACGATTTAGAGGGATCAGGCAAAGTATATCATGTCGGAAAATAAAATTGGAATTTAATCACCAATATACTTAACTTTTATAATAACAGATAATAACAGTTACATTTGATAAACAATACATCTTCAAATATGAAGTCCCTCTACTGGGCCTCACTCTTTCCGCAATATTGCGCTGAGGCCATAGACGGGGCAATTAAATGCAACAGTACCAAATGCATTTGTGTTTTCTATTGAACTGCATTATTCAATCGAATGCTTTTCTTTACTTATTATTAATTTTACATTTATCGCTATAAAACGAATAAATAGATAATATTTTTAAAATGTTATTTAGAAAATAAATTGAAAAAAAGGCATTTAGACGCTTCTCTCGTTTCAGGCAATGCCTGTTTTCAAAATGAATGATTTTGCCCAGCAACAGATTCAAGTATATTATAAAAAAAAAACAATTACAGGTAAATTTTGTATGTATTAAAATGGGTAATGTTATAATTCAAAAATTATAGTATACTATCGAAACAAATGTACGAGCTGCGCTCTCTCCAGGCCATGCCTGAGTCATATTATGTGTTTTATTACCATGCTGTGATATTTGATCTTATGTTTTGTCGTAACAAGAGCGTAGCTCTCGGTCGCCGAAGCTCTTTAATGGTAAACACATGCGTGCGTAAACAGAGTTGCTTCCCCTTTCCTACACCTTGCCTTTATTTTTTGAAAAAATTAACAGGAAAATCTTGGAACTGATGGCTGTTGTATTTAACTCTTTGTCGGTGCTTCATGACTTTTTAATTTCAGTTTTTGCCACAGGCACAAAAAGTAAAAACGGGGATGTTTTCTGAAGATCCTATTTTGTCATCAATCAGGTTCTGTTAATATTTTTATCGGGAGATAATTTCAAAAAGAGCCGCATTAAACCAATAGGTCAACGTGTACATTTATTTTTCATCGTCTAAAATTGTATCCGCTTTTGATTTCCATTTGTTGAGAATATGAACGAAATAATTAACATTTTTGAAAGTCTGGTTATAGTCTTTACATAAGTTATGTATGCATCACCACTCAAAAAAGAAACAATGGATAATTCATTTATGTCGAAATCAACAATAATTGTCCAGACAACGAACCCGAGTTCAACGCCCTTTTTCAGCAACGTATTACTTTTTCACAACGCATGCCGATTTATAACTAGTAAGAGACAGAAACTGCTTAATTGTATTTGGCATTATTACCTGTCAAACCTCAGTGACAGTTACACAATTTTAAATTCAATCCGGTGTTTTAGGATGAAACAGGAATTATAAATATCGATATAACGACAATCTCAGTTCCATCAAAGTAATACGATGTTTTCTTTTTTTAATTTCATTTTTTTTAACTAACATCTCTATACATTTACTTTTATAGACTTATCGTCAAATATGTAATTTGCACTTTTTTTCTATAGCAATTACCAAACAGTTTTTTTCCCACCTTGTTTCAATTATTCTTTTTGTGACCTGACGGAAGCACGCAGATGATTTTATTTTTAATGTGGGAGGAAGCCAGAGTATCCGAAGAAAACCCCCGTGGTCGGGCAGGTATAGTCGGGATTGAATCCGGTCATCTTGGTGAAGACGAGCGCGCTATCCACTGCGCCACCGACCCATCATATACGTTACGCACAAGAACAGATATCTACTTTAGCTTTGAAAATGGCGTCATTGATGCAAAAATTATATTGTGAATACATTTTTTCCAATCATCAACGATACAAAAACCTTCATTCGGGAGACCGGGGCAAGTTCGGCCACCCCTGATATTTTTGTTTTTTAGCTAATATTTACAACTTTATAACGTCATAATTAAGCTGATTCTTATAGGGCCAAACTTACTCGAATGCCTGTCCGAACTTATCCCACTGCAGGGCTCGTTCGGTCATACGATCATCCGACAGGGGAAATTAGATAATGTTCAAAAACGGACGTGCTGCCATACCTCCCAGAACGGACTTAAATAAAAATGGGCCGAATTTGCCCCGATCTCCCCTATTGTTATGTCGGTCTTAATCTCATTAAACTTATGTTTTATTGTTATCCCTCGACTAGCCGACTTTAAATAAATGTTATCTTGTCTCATTCTGAAAGCAGTATTAAAACTATCTCATTCTAGATCAGTAAATATCAGAGATCAACAAAAGCTTCGCTCTTTTATGGCTTTGCCTTTTCATATTAATACCTCTTCAGAGCTAATGTTTCTGTTTCATATGTACAATGTGCGACTATAAATAAAATTTCGTGTACCTTGTATCCTGTACCCTACTTCTGATCGACTTGGTTTTTGTTTTATTTTAGGTTGGATCAAATGAAGAACTTGACTGATAGCATCGATCTAAATACCCTCCTGAACTTGAAATCAAGGACTGTACATTTTCTTCTACATCAGCAAGTTTCATCGATATTTTCTTACAACCTTATTCAATGTACCCACGTTCTCACTGTTAGGTCGGAACATGACTAGGATCTGATTGACATGGCTGATGCCATCGATGAGACCTAAGACGCTCCCTGAGCACCTGGTTTTATTCTACTGGTACGTTTTAATTAAGAGGGACTATGAACATCTTGCCGTCGATCATATTTTGCCCTAGTTTTTTTAGTTCGAATAACGCTTTTGTCGAGGTTTCGGTAAGTTCGTTTACGGGTCCTTCGCACTTCTTTTTACAGAGTTATGGACGTTTGTACATTTATTCTATGTACGTTTGTCCTGAGGGAAGAAGGATATAGATAGTACGAAATACTTTTGGCTGGTTTATAAGCATTTCTGTTATTAAATTTGAGTTTATAAATGTGGTATATTAATCAGGTAAAGAGTTATTAAGCAAATGCGTTGCGTTTGCAACGGGCTGGCAAGATCGACTGATACTGTATTACAGTAATATCATAGTTACACGTTTGTATTGTCTAAGTTTATAACTTTGGCTTGTGGGGGTTAAAATAGCTATACATTTAAATTGTTATATTTACATTTGCATGGCATTGTCACTATATAGGCTATTTGAAAGCTGTGTCGTTGATGGGATTTTAAATACCATGCACCACGAGACATTATTCTTAGCGAATTATTACAATATTATCCGATGTAAATAAACAAGACGGTTGCTGAACTATCGCTGGGCATTGTGAGACTAGACAGTGTAATTATAAATGTGCAAAAGAAAAAAAGGAAAAATACTTTTATAAGAACAAAAACAAGACCAAGGTCTGCAATATCGTACAAAATGCACATCGGTTGAAATAAGCAATGCCGGTAATGGAAACAATTTTAACACTCATGCAATTTATCATAAATTAAATATCGTCTTTTACACTGCACTGATCAACTGGGGTTCGTTACAAATGTCTGAAATACACATATGCTATAGACCTACTGACACATATGCTACATACCTACTGATATGAGTCACAGCACACATAAATATACACAAGGCATATGTGACAATGTGTATTTCAGACATTTTTAACGAACCCCTGCGCTCCGTCGTAAGATCACTCACTTCAAACGCTATCAGTTTCACGCGTCTCTCAGCCACGGTTTCCTCAGTTTATGACGACATGTCAAATAACGAGGCCGTTGTAGAATCTACCGACTGTAGTCAGATTCCCAAACAAGCAACAAATAAATTCACGCCTGGATTCTTCACAAATTCGAACTTTTCTCTCTGCTCATTTAACTTCCAAAAATAACTCCTCGTGGAGGGCATGGTCGGATTCACGGTGTTCACTGTATTTATCCATGCGCGAAATTTGTACTAGGTGCTATATTACAACTGCAAAATTTATGATGCCGTCAAATGTGACAAACTTGATTTAATTCCGTTTCCCGTTACATTTAGTCTGCAAACTCAAGCGTAAATCAAATAAAATCGAGAAGACAAAAAATCTAAGGTTAACATCACTTTCAAAAATAAGACCAATTCGGCGGCTATTTTGAAAATGCCATTTTTTGCGCTTCACGCAATGGAAACATTTCACCTTTTATATCCATTGGTTAATCACTAAAACTGTCGTTGCGTTGCCATTATTAATTGTAGTAAGTTAAATACGGATTTTTTTTACTTCTCAGAGGAGTATATTTTTTAAGATGAATGTTGCGGGCACGTATTATCTGGTTCCGTATTCGTCTTCAATATAGCGATACCGAGTTATTTGTCAGGTACTCAAAATTGTTTTTTTAGAAAACATCTTCTTTTTTTTTAATAATGATATCAATTATTTTTATATATTAGTGAGGACAATATTTTCTTTAAATTGCTAACACCTGTTGATATCCAATTGATACAATTATACTTTAGTCATAATAAGGGTCAGTATCTGCAAGTAAAGCTTATTCATGACATTGTTAAATACGCAGTAATCTGTACCAACCGGAAATGGTATAATAACATTTAATGTAGAATATCACTTTCTTGATGGAATTGCCATTGACACCCTTACTGCAAAACAACAGGAGCTTCGGGAGGAACTCCTATGAGAAGTTAAACATTTCCCGTATTTATTTATTTTTCTTATATTCATTTTTCGGAAAAAGGAGTAAACAGCATAGTAAATATCGCTCAAAAAAATATTTGTAAGTGTGTTCATTCTTTGTGATTTGACCGGTCAAAGATACCAATTTAACACAACATCTGCTTTTGGTAAAATAAATAAACGTTCTTTATAAAAATGAATTACAATACTTACCAACGAGACCCAATAAAGCACACAAAAATACACTGCCAGCAAGTATGGATCGATTCATTTTGATTGAGTAATTTACTGCCCTGAAACGAAAAAAAAAATCACCTACATTTTGATTATAAATTCAATAAACGTCTTTGCCAATCAAGATAATAATATATGGACTGCAAATAAACAAATACACAACTTTGGCCATTTCATCAGGATTTGTTTGACAAGACCAATCCCGATTCAACGCCAATTGGTAAAAGCTTGCCTTAATAATAATAATAATAATTCGAGGTTCCTCTATACCGCTTTATCACAACATAGTTCGTAGGTCGTTTCAAAGCAGTTCACAAATTATCATCCGTAGTTATAAGGCCTTTGCAACCAGCCAATATATTTTTGAACTCCCTGGGGAGCATACAGCCAGTGCTGACATAGAGGCGCTTATACCTAGCATTCAACAATTCTAGCTCTGCCCAACCACGTACTCATTTACAGCTGAGTAGACTGGAACAAGGGGAGTAAAGTATCTTTCTCAAAGATACAACACAGTGCCGTGCCGTGACGAGCCCGGCGTCCTACCACTGGACTACCATGCATTCTTAGTAGAGTTATTCATGTAACGTAAGTAACCAGTGAGAACATGCGTTCAACCTTCACGTATCAATGTCTGAGATTATAATACTTATGAATCATTAATATATTTGACCTCACGTCTAATGACGAAATTAGATAATCTGTATTTTCTCCGTAGTGAAAATCTTGCGACATTTTCTCCAAATTGAGTAACACGCGTGTTTAGTAATGATATGATGCAGTTTAATCGCATGATGTAAAATGTACCGGATAAATAAAAGTAATATTTACCAGGAAACAAATGCACATCAGATATGCAATGTAACATTATGTGTTTTACAACAAAAACAAAAATATATATTGGTCTGTGTGGAAGCGTACAAAGGATATTAGGTCTTTATAGTGAAGGAAACCAGAATCCCCCCTAGAAAACATTAGAGGTACACGTCACTTCATACATTTTCATCTCTAATGGAGGAACTGTAGCCCGAAAAGCATCAGCGAAATCAAAGAGTTCCGCTATCGAAATACACACATTTTGTGAATCCTTTGATTAGATCATTTTGCTTTTTTTCCGACATACAAAACTGTCAAATCACTAAGGTGATACATATCCGGGAATATGCACCAAATCACAGGCGATCAATTTGACCGTTACGCTGCCACGCGATTATTCCTATTTTGAATTAAGAGAGATTAAATAAAGGCAATAATCCGCAACAGTTTCCAAACTTATTTCGTCCGCTAAGAAGTCCGTACAGAGCCGTCAATTTTGTCTTATCAAAGTTGAAAAGAATATATAGTACCAAGAACGGGACTCTTTGATTGATAAATGGGTGGCAGGCGAAAGCGCTATCCACTGCACCACCCAACCATATATTAGCATGTTAAAATTATATTACTAAAGTTTATAACTTTTATGGGCGGATTGGTCGAGTGGTTTACACTCTGGCCTTCCAATCAGGCAGCCGGGGTTCGATCCCCGAAATCGCCGTACGCATGGAATATTCAGAGAAAGTGTTTCGTCTCCTGCCCACACAACTCCAACAACCCCCGTGGAGTTTAAAATGGTCTGGGGTTGGTGGTGCGGTATCCGTGCTGTAGTATTCAAGTAAGGTGGCACTATAAATGATACCGATGGAAGCACGGTCCCAATACAAACAGAACACGATACATATCCAGCACACACACAGGCATACACCCATAGTGAGATGTTAGCCAGGTGGCATAGGACTAGTAGTTAGCGCCTGATAAGGCAGCTCCTGCTAATTCTTCAATATTGTAATGATCAATATATATATATATGTTAATTGTATTGACTGTATACAGTTGTATATATATGTACTGTAAATCGCTTGAGAGTGGCTTATGTTAGCTAGATAGGGCTCTATATCAAATGTTGTATATTTATATTCATTTATTTATAACTTAATTATTCTGATATTGTTCCATCAATTGGTTTTTTTTATCTGAAATTGCATGACCAAATCTATTAAACCCTATCTTAAAATATGAGAAAAAGTGTAAAGTGTTACTATCATGAATTGAGGAAAGAAATGACGTCTTATATTCAAGAAGAATTACACAAATGTACTGGTACTGTATTATACTTGTTTATTTATTATATATTATATTAGTAATATATTAATATATCTCCTGTTGTTTACAGTAGAAAGATGTAAACTTGTTCTTATAATGCATGCATTTTATATTTCTGAACATAACCAATTGATAATGATGAAGAATATATATGAATCTGAGAAATACATACCTGCTCAATGAGAACTGCAAGATGCTGCCTTCTCAATGCCAAACAGAATACTGTAGAATACAATTATGTTTCTGCATTTAAATGACAATAATCAAAACAGGGACAACACATCAAATCATCGTGAAGTTGTCATAATGTGTCAGTTGTTTTGCAATCATGACATTAATGGCTTAAGTATCAGGCATCCTAAAATAATAAGTGTGTGGCCTGGAGCCATAAATAACCTCAATTAACTATGGTAAGACGACAAGTTCGTGTGCCTTAAATTAAAATCACGTTCGCTTTCTTCTTTTTCAAACTGATCGTTTTTTTACTATTGTCTAATTTCCCCTAGAAAAACGAAACATGAAAGGGCAGATGTAATATAACAACGCTTCGTTCACTTAAAATTCATATATGAAAACAATGTATGCCGTTTTTAGAATCGCATAAATTCATACTTCTTACTACACATCAGGATAATTTATAAATAAATTTACTGAAAACTGTACTTCCCTTTCGTCCATGTTATGCTGCCTTCCCGTCCAAACCCGTTAAAAGTATCAGACCTACAATTGCAGCTGTTACCGTTGCGTTGACACTATCGAATACATTCATTGCAGATTTTAGGTTGTGGTTTCGATTGTTGTTGCGGTTGTGGTTTGTTTGAGATTTTCGATGTTATTTTAGTTTCGTTTTTTATAAGTCATTAGTCAAAAGGGGAAATGCTCTAATTTAGGTTGAACTTTCTTTATGTTATTTACGATTTCTTAACTATCAGCCCTGAATGCAATTCCTCGGCACTTTGAAGGGGTGGTACGTCATCCTGTATAATCCAGAGGTTGCGCTATCCCTTGTGCCCTCTGCACCCTTGGCATGTGTCATGACATAAACGAAGGACCAGTGAGTGCTACCTTGTGAATGAGACAAGGAGACTAGTTTGGTGCTCATTGTACACCATACGAATCCCACGGTAGCGTAACAATAAAATTGACTGGCGTACTTTCGTTGAAGTCGGGTGTCGCTATTCGGTAATCTGCAAAGGAAAAATATCGGCCTAGTGGCTGGTTAGGTTTTTTGTCTACCTGACACCAATCAACACAGCTGGTCATGCGCCTACAGTTTGGCTTTGACAGGACTGGACAGTAAATACTTAACTCATACTATATTTCTCAAACGCCTATTCATGCATATTTTGAAGGAGTCCTGTCAAACTGGTTTTATTCCTGATATTGTGAGAATACTTCGCAAGTATGATTTGTTTAATTATCTGTTGCAGTATATATCAGATACAGTTTTTCCAAGTAGTTCATCATGGAAGTCAATTTCCTATAAAGCAGTTTATAATTGGGAAGAATTAATGATGTACGATAGAATGAACAACGATTCAGATTTCACAAGATTTTTGCTCATTCATGATGTAATTTCTCCACATATTTTATGGACAGTAGCATTAAAATTCCCTGAACATCTAAGCAAGATAAGCAATATAGTTCGATTATGTGCTAATTTAAGATCAACAAATATTATTGAATTATGCCATTTTTGTGGTATTTTACATAATGACTGTATAACACATACAGTAATCCATTGTACAAAAACTGAAAGTCTTAGAGACGATCTATGGTGTCTTATAAGTACGGCTTTTGATATAGAACTTGGCGTGTTCTTATCCTCTTTGTCTGATTATGATTTAATTCATGTATTACTAGGGGGTAGCCTTCCCCACATATTAAGCTCAACTGATTATGTAACCTTTGTACTGCATAATGCTATTTTTATTGACAAAATGTTGCTGTTGTATCAGCGTTAATAATGATATAACACGTACAAACGTACGTACAATAGCAATGTCTAGCTAATTATTATTTTTTTTTTCTCTCTTATTTTGTGTGTGTTTATGTGTGGGTAAGCCTGAGAAGACCTTGTTGGTAGGGCTTTCCCCAACCCTTGGAAACCTCAGGATTCCCAGGCATTCTAATTATTTTGTATGATTTGCTGTTCTTTCTGTATTTACTAAACTAATTCAAGTTTCATTAACTTCTCTCTTCATCTCTGTAGTTAACTGATGTATTTATGTGCATGTAAGAATCAATTAATAATATTTGATTTGTATTTTGACTACACTGTATATTTTTGTAACTCTTCAATTTGGAGGAAATAAAAAAATAATAATAATAATACGAATCCCACGGTAGCGTAACAATAAAATTGACTGGCGTACTTTCGTTGAAGTCGGGTGTCGCTATTCGGTAATCTGCAAAGGAAAAATATCGGCCTGGTGGCTGGTTAGGTTTTTTGTCTACCTGATACCAATCAACACAGCTGGTCATGCGCCTACAGTTTGGCTTTGACATTTTTCAAAACAGGTTCAGAGAGCGTAAACCCTGGAGTATCGAGGACGGTTTTACCTACATGAATACCCAGGAATAACTGGACAAGAGTAATCTATTAAGGTATAATGCATGGATTCATCTTGCAGTTGTCGCCAAAATTCGATTACACAAGAAAGTGTAGACTGCAAGCCAGGGGGGGGGGGGGGGGTATATATTTGGCTATCCTCGATACTAGACTCGTTAACGTTCACTGCACACCTGGAACATGTCATAACGAAAATGAATGATACAAGTAGGCTATCCCAATCCTTGGTTGTATATTAAAAGAATTGCGCGGCACCGTAACAGTAAAATTGACTTGCTTTGAAATCGGATGTCGTAATTTTGAAATCTTCGAAGGAGAAGTGTCAGCCTCTACGATTGGTCAGTGCTAATGACTGGAACCAAAGAAATCGCTCACGTCAATCTTTTTTTTGCATATTGAAGGGATGCAGAGAATGTAAGTAAGTATTATCCCTGCAATTTCGAAGATAAGATGTGGTACGATTATGATATGTAGTTCTCTCTAAAAACAATAAAGAAAAAGTCATAGTGCTCGTTTTTCAGAAGTACGGTGCGATCTAAAGGAAAATCACATGATTTTAGGGGGCAGCCTAGCGTGTGTTTAATAATTCCATATAATGTTACACTTCCTATTTTAACCGTATAAGTAAATCAATCACTTTGTGTGCGTGATATTTTTGTGTCTCATAACTTAAATATCAATGTCTCGGTATTGATCAATTATCAAATGTAAATTTTGTGATTTTGCTTAGTTTTAATTAATGAATCAATGACACTTCAAATAAACTAATCTGGTTTTTTTTTTTTCTTCTTATCATTGCATTCTTGTCAATTAATTCAGCATATTTCCTGTGCTGACTCACGTCTTTGATAGAACTTATAAGAATGTTTTTCTTTAATTCAAACGAAATCCTTATGAAGTGGAAGGAAATTATATGTATAATAATCACGATTTGGGTGTACATGCATGTTATAAATTAACAAAATACAGCGTGACATAATTGATGCTTAATTAATGTTTTTTCTGTTTAATAATATGCATGAGAAGATGTTTAATGAATATGAAAGTGCAAACAAGTAGAAATACATATATTAGTGACTTCCGGACATAATATACACAATTTAACATATTAATTAGTATAGCCAACAATAACTACAATAACAACAAAATTTGATCAAGATCAAAACACGGGATTTCCAACAGGAAAATGATCAAAGATATTTTCTCGGACTGACGATCGCCTCCCTTCGGTTTCCTTCGCTTCCCTTCTTTGACCTTTGACCAACCTAACCATAGGGTCAGGTTATTTCTGAACAGTCAGCATTGATAGAAAGCTGTTTAGTGTTTCTTTCTTCCGTCCCCCTCCCCTTTGTTGGGACATTATTTACTTGAGGTACATAGTTGTGATTGTCAGATCTGTCATGATGCGGTGACCTTGGAACTGCACAATAAAAAAAAATGGAAGAATTTTGACCAAATTTTGATTATTTGACTCCTGTGACCTAACATAAAGATCAAGTTCAAAAAGATGAACTTTGAATGTAGGCGAACATACAAACTATAGATGTGCCAAATACTCTGTATGTGTCTTAAAGACGGAGGAGAAGACTTTTAAATGAATTTTGCAAAAATTTCAAATTTAGGGGGAAAATGCACATTTTCAAAGTGGCATATCTTCGTCATTTTTGATGCTATGACCTTAAAACTTTCCACATACCTTTCTTAGATCGTGCTTTTTAAGATCTGATAAAAAAAAGATCTACAAGTTCCACATAACGTTCATACATGACAACGAACGCTAAGGAAGTTATGGTCGTTCTAAAATTGTTTCAAAAATTGATTGTGTTCGGGTGTCTGGAGATCGATGTCATCTATCATGTGCTGAAATATGAACGTTCCATCTGTTTTCGTTCATGATATAAACAAGATATGTGGAAATAATAAGAATAAGAATAAGAAAAAATAAATAACAAAAACAATAGGGATTTCCATCTGAAAATGAAATCCCTAATAACAACAATTGGGAGATGGCTTATAAATATAAGAGTCTACTCTTGTTGCCAGATCCCTAATATTACATTAGGAAAAAGGATATATTATGTACAGCATATTTGTAAATAAAATGTTGTTTAAACCAACAATAACTGCTGATCTTGTAATGAACAGTTTGATGTTGCTTCGCAAAAATGATAAATAAAAAATAATGTCCATTTTCAACTGTATTAAATTGAGCAAGCAGAAGTCCGCATATTCTGAAAATGGACAAACAGATATATTTGAGCTATCTAGGAAAAGATATTATTAAATTTTACATTCTGTATGCTTAGACCCATTGACAAAAATTACATTCATAAATGCATAACACAGGTGTTCATAGAATCTCAGCACGTGGGAACTGATAGTAACCTGATCACACTGCGTAGTAATACACTACAAAAACTACTCACTCGGAACGACCGACCTAGATGCTTAATTCTTACATCTTAAAATATTATTGAACTGTGCTTTGTGAAATATCCACGTATTCACGTGTCCTGTGCTACAAATAAACATTGAATATGGAACTACATTTTGTTGTGTTATTGTTGTTGACGGTTGCTAAGATCTCTCACGATAGTGTCACATTTCCCCGCGAAAAAACACTGTTCTCGCCACTGCGTTGCACCCGTGTATAAGCAGGAACAAACCCTGTTTATTTGTTTTATTCGTTGTTAT